ACATTGTAAATGTTTAACTGGCTCACGAATTTGATTGAATTTGCTTTTAATTAAAAAAATTCGTTCGAGAACTCTTCATCACTTGTAATTGTTCGTGTCGATATTCCCGAAGAAGCCAATACGGAAGTGTCGAAATAACAAAGCACTCTTGCACCAGAAGTTAGATGTCCCCGAACAGTTCGATATCTCGCACGGTTCAGCTCCTTGAGCTCTCGGGATCACCGAGTTCTTCGCCGTACTGAAAATTGCACGGGACGAGGGCAATTTTTAATAAGTCCCTCCTCCGCCCGAGCGACTGCGGCTCTGACATACATAGTCTGACAAACGACCCGCAGTTATGTTTTAATTGCGCTGTTCCGACCATTTCCAACTCCATATACCTTGTTCTTCGTCGACGCGCCAACACCCACACGACCCCGCGCGTATCACGGGCACAATCGCGAGAGCGCGCGTCTCCCGTGACGGGTACACGAATACATTCCGTTCATTCTGCAAAGGGATTTGATTATGCAACGTTTCGCGTTTTGTTCTCTCCGCGGAGCGGAAAGCTTTCAGGCCACTTTCCGCGCCTCGTTTTTTCGGAGATTTATTCATACATACGCCGAGGCAGAAGTATTCTTAATAAATCACGGCTCCGCTGAAACGGATAGATTTACCGCCCGGTGCCATTTCAGTTCCCTCCGGCCGCGGGAAAGACGATTACCGTTTCTTTCTTCTGTACTTCTGGGGGTAGTTTGGTCGCTGGCAAACCATTGGACGTTAACCCTTCGCGGTTCGAGCCCTTGGGTGGACGAAATTACTTTTCCTTTGAATTTTCAAGATTTTCACTTGACACTTCGTAAGGAGTGTCTTACTTCTGGGCGAGGTTCGAACGGAATTCGTTTTACATTGGGTCTTCCTAAGGCTACAGCGATGATGAGACTTCGCTGGAATGGAATTTCTATGATATTATACTCCCCATCGACCACTGACCCGTAGAACCGGCGCGGCGTAAGTTTATAGTGAATCCACATTGGCGCAATATTTGGAATAATCTGGCGCCATCAACATGGTTGGGAAATTTCATAACCTACTAGGAAACTCAGATATTTAATTCGCGGTGTTCAAGCTCGTCTCTGAAGGGTTATGGACCAACAGAGAAATATTTTCAGGATGTTTTCCCAGTTGGCCGAAAAATCATATACCAACGCAGGGTCACGGGTCACGCGGCATGCAGGGCACGTTTCTATTTGTTGATATACGTTCAGCCGTGTGGATAGCGGCGATTGTACAGAACAACGTTGACGTGGTCTCGAATCTCTGCCAACATCGATCCCGACCTGTCGTTCGCCACGAAGCGCCGAATGGAAATTGAATTTCCGCGCTCTCCGGTCGATGCCGGTTTCTCAGATCCGCAACCACCCGGACGAAATCGTCCGTCATAAGAAACCCCGTGTTTGCAGCATGGTTTCCCACGTTTCCTACCCATTTTCCGTCTTCGATTCGCGGCTCGCGTGCGCACCGAAATCCACACTTGATTTGCATCGCGGGAACAAATCGCGCAATTGTTGATTCAACGACGTGGACGTCGATCCCGACGTAGCTCCGTTTCGTGGACTTTCTTTATCGAATTAATTTGGATTAATTCGAGAATTCATCATAAATCTTGATTTATTTAGGGGAATAGGATAGAAATATTTAGGATAGAGATTCACAATATTTGAATTAATGTAACAAATACAATATTACAGGATCCTTTTATCAAGATATAAAATTGTATTTGCATAAGCAGCGCTCTTTCAGTTTGAACGATACTGACAATTATAAATGGAATGCTTCCAATTAAACTATTATTGGTGATCAACAATAATAATATCGCATAAAAATGTAAAGGTCAAAGCGATACATTTTGCATAAATGCATAAAGTTCTAGCAACAAAAGATTCATAATTTCCCACCTAAGCCTCGATCGAACTGGAACGAAACTTGTCCAGAAAACATTCCAACAATACCACCAGAAATATCTTCCATTGCCTTGTCTTAGTATGAAAACTCACGTACTCGAAACCTGAAAGACCTTGTGTCTGCTCAAAACCACTTCCAATAATTGCACTGAATCTACCCTAAGTGGTCGACGATTGGCGAAGAAATCGCAGTAAGGCTCCCACGTCTAGAACGCGATAAATGAGGAAACGTCTTGGGAGTTCCAGTACGACGTTTCGGGCCATAAATCCATCACAATTATGAACGCTCAGAAATTGGGTTATTTCGAATGAAAGGCATTTTATCTCCAGTGCCAGGACGAAGTACAGGAGAATCAGACTTCTCAGCAGCGGCATTAAAGAATGATGGAGCTCGACTGCTGGAATAAGTGAGGCCAATCACGCGCGGCTCTTCGAATACATGGCGAAAGGTGAAATCCAGCCACGGCTGTATCAAGCGGACTTTGGAATCGACGTCAATGTTTCTAACAGGACGGCTCCTACTACGATTGGTCTGTATCGGAAGCCATCGTGCCGTTTTTCGATTACACGTTCCATCGAAAGCTGCAGGTCAAAACGATCCCCTGGATGTGTCAATAATTCTCGAACCTCCTTCGTCTTAACCCTCTATTGCAGCAGTTTAATCTCAAACGAAATTATTTCTCAATTCTATGTACTTCTACGTTTTCATTTGTTTCTCGACTTGAGTTGTTGTTTGAATGTTTACACGATCTTACCATATTAAATAATAATACCAAGTCTCTCGCTCTTGAACAACTTTTAGCATTCCACATCGAAAGATCAAATTTTCCACAACCACCCTTCCTTATAATCCCGTAAAATATTACTTTACTCGGCCAGGGTTGAATACCCTATATTCTCATGAATTATTTAACGTTGAAGCTAAACAACAAGTGGCCGAATCAGCAATGCAAGTGCATGTCTCCGCGGGGAAGCATCAAGGGTTTACGTTCTGTAAGTCCAGTGAATCCTGTAAAATTTCCTCGGAGATTTTTAGAGAGATTCTTTCTCTCGGCTATCCGATTCAGTTCATTATGCAATACAGGGTTAACGCGCCCGACTACGTGAAAGATAAATCACAAGCTGGAGGGAAGTTTCCCCTGTAGCATGAGAACGAGAACGACGAGCCAACAATGACCAGCGACTTTGTGTAATCAACTTTGGGCTTGACCTCTGAAGACCAGCATCTACCTGCGAGTTTCCAAAACTTGCGGAGGCAAGGGTCTCCACTTTTCAAGGGCTCGTTACGAGCGGGGCGTGCTGCCCACGACGCTCTCGGAGAGTTTCCAAGTTTCCCTACGCGTTAACCATCCTGGTTATTTGGCGAAGGTAAAGATTAGTATAACGATTCGGTGGAGATGGCTCTTTTAGTGGATTTAAGGAGCGAATCCGGGACAGGAATTTTAGTCACTTCTACGTCAAAAGAAACCGAGTGTTTTATATCGAAACTTTTCTTGCCGATAAAGGTGTGTAGATTTTTGGTGAGGTATCGAATAAAATACCTTTTAAGAGGGTAAGGACCACCTATACTTAATCAGTGGTGAAAATGTCTATCCAAATTACTTTCTGTAAGTTTCATTTCTCTATTGCGCTCTTTATATGACGACAAGAAGAGGACACTATAAAAGTGTAATTCAAAGTACAGACTGACATCAATTTCCTAGCAATCTAATACGTACGCCACGTCGAAGAGAGCATTCTTCTGAGCGTGTTCCTAGGAACGGTTCCTACCTTGGCAATGTGTCATGGCGAATAATTAATCGGCTATCCGCGGTCTGGCAGCCAGAGCCGCGCTCCCGGAAGATGTATTCCAGCCAATCGCTCCAACCTCGCGAAGGTTAGAAGCGGCATGAATAATGCACATGGTGCCGTGCAACGCGGAGATTTTCCAATGTTGTAATCCGCGGGATGCGGTCCCATCCAAAATTGAAATCACGCGACGATCCCCCGACGGGGCGCAGCCACCGTAAGACGACCAAGGATACCAACGGAAACCAGAAGGCTCCGATAGATATTGCTGCCTTACGAGAAAGCGTAAGATGGTATCGGTGCACCTCGTGCGAGGAATGCGAACAAGGCTTTCGCGTTTACGCGCGTCTCTTATTTCTGTTGGGTATATGTCGGGGGATAGACGATCGCGGGAACTTCGAGACACCAGAGGAATTACTATACTCCTGGCGAAATATCACGGTTGGATATCTCGACATCCGTCAGGACCCAGAATAGGATTCGAAGTATATGATAATCGTTTGATTTTTTATTGGTAACGTCTGGTTTTAGCGATTTTTACGACGATTTTTGGCGAGGTATACAGGATGAATAGAAGATATCAATAATAAAGACTGTGTGGTAATCAAAAATTTAACACAGATATTTTTTAGTACAACTTTCCTTTTATAGTAAATTGAAAAAATTCTTATTGTGACTTTGAAAGGGCGTTCAAGATTCTGTAACCTCCTTGTATCCACACCTAGGGCCAAGATAAACGAACGAACAATTAAAGACATTTTGACGATTTCGCAACGTCAATCAAAGAATAAGAAAATTGCTCGAAGCAATTGAATGAACAAAGGAATGTCTTGAAACCCACAGATTCTCTTGGGTCAACTACGGGGGTCCTTAGATCCTCTCGGTACCCCCATATATCCACCACCGACTCCAGACTAGCAACAATCTCAGAACTCGTCATCACAGCGCCATGAGCAACCAGTGAAAAGTATCTCGACAGTTCGAGGCGATCGACGAGACAAAGAAAGCGTCATCCAAAGTTTCGCAATGTCGTTGATCGACAAAACAAAACGGTCGTGACGACTCCGTGTATGTGTACATAATCGTATATACACAAAAGGAAAAACGAGAGGAAAATATAGTGATAGAGAGATAATAGATACGCATGTGTACACAATCGAAAGATACCAACGGAAAGAAGATAGAGTGAGATAGAAGAAACTTATTAACAGAATAGACAGTGTCTGGCTGGTGTAATACGCAGGCAAGCCATGCTACGAGTTACGTTACCTAAGGTGAGCTTCTCCCCGGAGTCTGGCGGCAATGTGAAGCCCAGAAGCGCCATGCTGGATATCAACACGCACGGCACGATCAGGTTGAAAAAATAATACAGCGTTCTCCTCCGGATCTGTATGGTGAATGTGACGTCGAAGTACGGCTCCGGGCAGCACTGGTAGGTCAGTGTGTTCTTCTTGCCAGGCATCCCTGCAACGAAACCCCAGACGGCGTTATTGTCGATACAGAGGGAACTGATAGTTTTGGAATGGGTAAGCTCGAAGGGGGCAAATTGAAGGACAGTTTGTCCTTATTTCGGGGTTTCGTATACGACTCGTTAGGGTTCCAAGGGGTTGTATCGCGCCAGCGTGTAATTTGGTGCGATTAAGTGACACTTCTTTGCTCGGGAAACAGGGACCGTGGAGGGATTAGGGTACCGAGCTGTCCATTGGCCCAAGATAAAGGGTCTCCTTTGGGAATTAATTCCTTGAGAAAGAAGCGATAGTCGGAACTTCTCTTTTTTGCGTGCAATGTTTATGCGTATTTTGAAGATTAAGGCAGATTTTGTTCAATTGTACGGGTAAATTGTAGTAAAGGGTCATTTTTAAGAACTGTTGGAGTTTCAGTGATCCGAGCTCTAAAAATAAAGATATTAAATTTTACTGTCGGATGGTTATTCTAGAAGGTTTGATTTTAGACTGAATATTTGTGAAAAAATTCTGAATATAGTGTAGGAAACAGGACATCGAGTTATTGTATCGAATGTTTACGTGATTTGTAGAATAAAACAGTACGTAGTATAAAATGAAAGATGTTCCATAAAATACTCACGTCTTGATGTTATTACCTGAACACTTTTATGAGCAGACAGATAAAAAGTGCGGATTTCTATAAAGAATTCTGTCGCAACATTAAAACAAATAACAAGTTTAGTACGTAGATGTATTGGTTGTGTCTTCCAACAAACGTGGTGAAAGACTTTCTTCGATCGACTCCTTCAATCTTCATTTGAGAAAGAGCTGTAGTCAGTCCTAATTCCTAGAATCATCTGCACATTTATTAATTTGAAATTTATCGCTTAATATATCAATAAATGCTGTAAATGGTGAATAGAAATAAATTACAGCCACTGTATTCGATCCCCAAGCAAAGGAACGTAAGTCAACGAATTTTATTCCTGATCTCGGATTCGTGATTTTTCGTTCACTGTATTCGCTACAAATTACACGCTTCTGTGATTCCACTACTAATAGATTTCTCTTACTAATAAAACCTAAATGAAATTAGTTAAAATTTTTCTTAAGAAATTTGAAAAGGAGTAATTTTCTAATATTATCCTCCTTTTAACAGATGTTCAAGCGACAAATGACATCTGCTAGCGCAGAAAAGGGAATCTATCGTATCGATCTATAAAAAAAGTTAGTGTCGACAAATACCGTGCATCCGGTGACACGTGCGAGGACCATAGCAATTAAACGAAGGAGCTCGAGGTATACTTACTCGGCCACGGGTCGCGTTAATAATCGCACTAAAGGGAACGAGCCATTTTAATTACTTTCAATCGAACGGAATCGTACCCATCGAATCCAATAATACGGATAAGAAAGTGTCAGGCTCGATCACTTGTTGCTGCGCTGGCGGGACTCTTTTCCGCCACGTATTTTTGCTCTAATTTTCCCCTAACGTTGCGCGGGATCTACTCGCGAGAATTATGACAGCTCCGCGGCTACTTTATTCCGTGCTATCTTTAATTGTCTCGATGGCGTGTGCGCGTCATATGCAGGCGGTGTTTATCTTTGGCTCGTTAAAAGGCGACAGTTTCATTCGAGGAACCATCGCGATGGGTACGCGATTATCTTCCAACTTCTCGCATCTCTCTGCGCATCGAGGTGAAAAATCTCAAATGCAAAGCTTCGCGATGGGTTTTAATAGAGCATCTTGATGAGAATCTTTTCATACTTTGAAACGGGAGAACCTTGCTTTAATTCATTTGATAACTCGCGCATTCCATGAGTTGGTAGTCACGAAACAGAAAGGTATTCAGGTTAGGGGTCGAAGCAACTTCGGTGTCGCGCCGCGCTGCACCCTATCAGCGTCAAAGAAATTAGAATTTATTAATGCAATTTCGCGCCGGGCATATTCGCAAGATTCTCTTCGAGCTTTCACTCCATTCCTCATCCCAGGGCATTTGGAATTCCTTCACGCGCGTTTTCACCCACGAAGTGGAAGAGTTTCGAGATCGTGATGGTCGTTTCGCGGACGGATGACGCGCCGACCTGGGAAAACGGAGTCTCGAACGGGCAATGAAAAAGAGGAGCCGAGGCTGGTGTCGACGGTAGAGCGAGAAAGGATTTTCTTATGGCTTTATAGCCACGGGGTGCCGTGAGATTCGAGATGGCACCGCGAAACAGGAGCCTTGCGAAGGCGCTCGTTCAATCGCTGCATCGATTGGAAACTTCATGGGTATGCGCGACAGCGATACCCGTGAGAGAGCTTCGGGAGCGTCTTCGTGCTTCCAGGACCACGAAAGTGACTTCTTAACGACTTCCATCAACATTCCTTTACGTGTCGGCGACGCAACGCGATGCCCTGAATATCGCGTGCCTCGAGACGAATGCCACCTAAAAGTGCTCTTTTGTAAATATCAGGTTCTGTCGAGGCAGTTGGGGGATTTTAATCGTTGGAATAGGTAGATAATTAAAATGAATTTCAACAATATTTTATTTAATTATATTATATGAAATTTTATATATACGTACTGAATACTTCCATCGAGTACAGCGTTTAAATATTTTTCTGAGCATTGTCCTATTGTGATCCAATATGCAAAATCTACGTTTCCTAATGTGCTGTGGTTAGAGTGGAATTAGTGGTCGAGAGGAATCGATGCAACTTACGTCGTATCTCAGTGTTGATACGCGTGAGTGCTTATAACTGACGTCGAAGCGCGGCAGTCTATTAAGGCACTAAAATCGACGTTGAATGGAGAATGGATTTTCGATAATCCCACAGTGGTACTAGAACCAAGTCGATCTCGATTTACAATGCAATCTCGTTAGAGAATGCCAACAAAGGGCCTTTAAATAATGCGTAAATTGATTCTGAAGTACGCGTATTAGAAATAACAAAGAGGCGTTGAAGAACGTATACAATCATTTTCGCTGAACTTGTTCTGTCCTGTTTCTTATTTTCTATCGACCACATTTATTTTCGCGATACTTTCGTTATTTCCAATTCTGAATTTTTAATCTTCGTTTATTTCGAAATTATTTATTATTACAATATTAAATTATTTATCTTCAATTAAAACACAATATTTTGTACTAAACTACACGAATGAGTGGTATGTCTAAAAAAATCTATGAGCAGTCTATAACCAATTTATTTTAATTCGTAATAGTTATCTCCATTTGATCCAGAGATTTGTATCTTCCCTTTTCGAATATCCTGTTTCTCCTGGATTAATTAAAAATGTATGGTAGACATTAACTGGAACGAGATTGCGCTTAGAAACACCGTAATGCTCTTCATTGTGGAAATTCGTTATTTATGACTCTAGTTTAATTTGGGACAATTCTGAATTAATTTCCTTTGTTATTTAATTCCGTCTAATCTATAAATGGAAAAACGCATACACCGAACAACTTGTCTAAATTCCACCTGCCAGTAATTCAATTCCTTTTCCTGTCTGTAGCATAATCTCGTTCACCGGAATACAAAGAGATTCGTAAATGAGGATTAACGTATATTACCATTGCTCTAGCGTACAAACGCCGAATACAATATGAGCGAGGCAGTCTCGAAGTGCATTAAACTTAACGGTTTTCTTTTGTGCTCTCCTTTGTTCGGTATTCTTTATCTTAATTTGACCTGCCGCAGTTCTGACGTGAGCAAACACGCCGACGATAATATAATGTTTACGTGAAAGTACTTTCTTGCGCGAAACTTTCATATTTTATAAACGAGATCTTAAACAGGCTTGTACGATAAAGTATAAGAAATTTCAAGACTGGTTATTCTTTAATTTCTTTGCAATATTAAGAATACTTGGTAATTAAAGTAAATGTGTATGTTATTCATGATGTAAATATTACGTGAAAGCATGTATATTACATGAAGGCCAATATTTTGTCTTTTGACTAATGAAATTTGCATACTTGGAACTGGTTGCACGAATATTTAATCCATAAAACGGTGAATATAAATATATTGCAAATAAGTGTAAAAGAGTTTATATTACAAGAGAGGCAGGGTTCTCCATTTTTATGAAAATACCACTTTTCAGTTTCTATGCAAAATTTCTAATCCTAGACCGTGATTGTAGTTTCGGTAATAAATTATATTGAACTTTATTCGTCACTATATGGGCTGCGTCTGACCAGGTACGGACTCGTTTCACTGCCGGCTGCAGCGCCGCGAGTCAAATTATTCGAATATTGTATTTAACTCGTAGAGTTAGATTTATAGCTGCATAAAGCAATTTTCAAATTGTACTCGAATATAACAAACTCTATCATATTAACAACATTTTATAAACTTCTCGAGCTGAACATTACAAAAACATTTCACCTGTAAAGAAATTATCAAACACCAGGGGCGAAACTTCGCAAACTTTCCATCGCTTCCGCAGTTTCGCGAATAATATAAATTCCCCAAGCAACATTCTCTATTTTCCCTGTAATAATGAACAATCCTAGGCACTCTTGAAATAACATTTTCTAAAATATTATTTCAAGTATCGTTATTTCATTTTCTAATAATTTTCGTACCCGCTTTTCAAATAACATTATCTAAAATATTGCGTCGAAAAACATATTATTTAGACATAAATGATTTTAAATATGTATTCCTTATTTTCATTACAATTAAAATTTGGCAACGAAGAACACTTTACTAAACCTTTATTAAATTCTTCTATAACCTTTCGATTTCACCTCGATGCGCAGCGCTGCTTCGACCAATGAATCTTATCAGTGGTTATCGTCCGTACTTATTCCCTAGATATTTGTAGCCCGCATTCTCGCCGCGCACACGTAAAAACTCGGTCCATCTCGATATCGAGCAAACGCCATTCAGAAACTTGCGTTCAGAGAAACTCACCTAGCAGGTGCCATTCCCCGTTCATGATGAAATCCGACAAGTCGCCGCCCTCCTCTGAGTTGAGTACCAGATCCAGCTATCAAGGTCAAAGTTTGATTAAGACAGGCACGTATCTACGATTAGGTCGATCCGCTAGGAAACGGGAAGCAGACATACGTGCGCATGCGACAGCTCCGTATCTCGCTAGTTTCTATGTTACATTGGGCAACACGCGGGCACATGTACATTTGCGACTACACAGATTACGAACGGTAGCATTACCTCATGAATCGTGCAAGGAGTAGACTGAAGGGAGTGGTGGTGTGTTGTGAAGGGTGTCTGGTATTCGTGTCTGGCAGATAAAAGGGAAAGCAAATTCGCGACGAAAGACAGAACGGAGTCTTGGAAGAGAAACACGCTTATTCGCCTGGTTCGGTTCAGGGTTTTCAAACGAGCTCGTTTCGTGACGTTTCGAAAACATTTCGATGCGCTTCTGTATTCTAAGATTTATTCTAAGATCTGTTCCAAAAGGAGTTGTTGACTCTGAGGTACACAGAGATAAATTGTTGAGGTAAAGCTGAAAATGGATGGTACAGTTCTCGAAGCATCTTCGATTCATCTTCCCCTATCATTAGCTCCTGTTACGCGTTCTACGTTCACTTTTGCAAAGTGCTCGTATGAATCAGTAACACGTGAAATTATTATTCCGGAGCCGAATTGGATTTCTCGCAGACCGACCACACTCATCTGAGCTCAAAGGAAGCTTTCGCTTCTCTGTCTTTGACTCTTTTCCTTATCTCCTTGAGTCATTCTAGTTAGAAAGGCAAATTGTAAGAAGGGTTCTTCGAAAGATACTTGTTAGTCTGTCCTGAGTCGCTTCTTAAACGGTCCCGTGATTTCTTTCAAGCATCGTACCTTCCCCGCTTATCTGTTGCTCTTTGATCGAGAGCCAAACGAGCCGTGGTTTAGCGTTCTGACTTTTACGACCGCCATTTCTATCTACGCGGCATCTTTAACTGCGCCCCGGAATCGCTGGGGATCTTGATCGTTTAAGTGATTCAGACTCGTGTTTTCCGACCGGGACACTTGTTTTAATGCTCGAGAAACTGATATCTCGAACGCGATGAAGTTTCTCTTATCGGTAGCAGGCTGGACAATATCGACCCGGGAAGTCCTCTTGGGGCGAAATCGATAACAATTTTCCAAAGAATCGAAAGAAGGAATCGCGAGGAAATATCGAGGTCCGCAAAACTCGTAATAGATGTACTTTTAGAATATTAATTTTTTTTTATCGTACTCTTACTCTATTCAATTTCAAATGTGCATATCGGTGCTTGCCAAGGCATTTATTAATTAAAAAAAGGAAAGTACTAATTTTAAGGACATTTTTATTTTTATTTTATCCCAAACAAGCTTCGCGAGTTACTAACAATTAATTACAAAATGGTAGCTTCTTTTCTAGGTTCCACTAGGGCATCGTGGTAACGATTCCATTCCCAAGGGCTGTGGGATCGAAACGATCGTCCAGCGTCCAACGTTTCGCGTTTGGAATTTTTTTAAATTTCAACGAGCACGGACGAAAGTCGAGCGAGCGACGTTTCGAAAAAAGGAATACAGTAAAATCCCGGTCCGAGGCTATTTATTTCGCGCGTGAAATGGACCCTTCGTTTTTCCGCCACGACCGGACGTGCTCTATATTATTATTTCTCTTTCGCGTCGGCTGACTGCCTCCTCTTTTTGCGGTAGTCGCGGAGAACTGGCACTCGGCTGCATTTTGCATACTGTGAAAGACACGAGACTCGATATAATTCATCGTGAAACGTATCGTTCGACAAGCCAAACAATATCATTTATACCTTGGGATTTGAATAATTGATGTTTATCGGCACGATTTATGATTCATTACGTTACGAAGTCGACACATCTAAAAATAAGGGTAATTTTGCTTGCTCGAGACTGGAATAAAATTCTTTTAGATTGAATAAGACAACTTGGAATATATATAGAATAATAAAGCAAAACTAAAATTGGAGCTTAATGAAATTTAAAATGAAACTATTCATTCTTGACTTTTGTCTCATTCTGGTCAATAGAATCATCTATTAAAGTATCAGATGACAGTAGCCAAGTTATAGGCCTGAGCGATAATCTAATCGTTTGATCTGGCATCTCACTGTTCACCTATACACGCCCAGGTTGCCACCTCGGGGATCTTATTAAACTTGTCGAGCTATATATTTCATGAAGGCGGTTCGATTCGAGCGTTTATTCTCGAGGGATTTGTGGCTAAGCCTATGCCTGGTGCATTGAGACTAATCGTCGGATACTGATTGCGCCAACGTGTTGATATTTATACTTGATTAGGGTTACGCATTGTCCATTTGGTGCCATGGCTCCGCACCTTGCAATCAATCCCTTGCAACTTGATAAAACTTTTTAATTAATTTTTAATTTCCAGTATCCTCATATTACTTATACTAAATCTCTGTAATCTACCACATGTAATACTATTTAAACGAGTATACTTAAAAAAAAAAAAGTATTTAGAGCGATCGAATTCAGACACCCTTCTCTGCCTCTTTCAACACTATTCACACATTTTCAATCCTGAATCTCTGCATTGTTGCAGTCGGTACACGTTGAATTTCCACTGCGCTCTCGAAGAGGTTTTCATAAACGTCACTTGGCAACGCTAAACGATACGTTTATCGATCATATTGTCATTTTCAATTATCAGGCTAGAAAGCGTAACAAATTCCACAGACTCCGCCTGTCTGAAATTTAACGGCCCATGCACGGTTGACAATTAATCCTGAACCGGTGACAGGTGATTCGAACGCGATCCACGTCGTTCAATGTTCACGATTTTTGTCCTGATACGTTCGTCACATCAGACGACGTCCTCCGTTTATCGATATCATCGGTTTACGTAATTTTCCAACAACGTGAAATCTTTGAAAAATAGTTTCACTGTGTATAGTTATAATTTCGGTCAGATTAACTTTGGAATTCTTGCAATTTTTCCTCAATCGTCGATCGATGATGAAGAATCAATCTTTTATCAACGTAATCGTGCTCGACGATAATTACCAAATATCTGGAGCGAGCCATGGTATGGACAGCGTCGCCGGTTTAGGATCAACAGCGTGCGCACACAAAACGCGATCAATGGGAACGTTTTCAGGCAAGGACTCTTTACACGAATATATACAGGGTGGACGTAGTAATTTTTTCCGCAAAAGTAAATGGGAAACGTGGAGGTAAATTTGTTCGACGCGAGTCCTTGTTTTCGAAAGGAATCGATTTTGAAAATAGCACTTTGTGAACGCCTAGCCATTATTCATTACTTCTACTTGGGCTGGTATTTGCTAACGTGGAAAATTTAGAATAGTGATTAAAAATAAACTTTTCGTCCATCTCGGTTTCTCCCAAATGACCAATTCGCAAAATCGATCCCCTCGAAAGCAAAGCGTCGATGTGAAAACAGTTTATTCCACGTTTTCGATTCACGTTCAGGCAAGAAACCTATGGCACCAACGGTCCTCGTCCACCCTGTATGTTCAGGGGGTGAGAGGACGGAGCTCGATGGATGTACGATGGGGCATTTGCATTGTTAAATACGCGAGTTACATTATGAAGGGCTCGCTGATGAGGGCAATCGACCAGTACGCGTCACCGACGACAGATATGTGCGCGCACATTCGCATTCACATAGGGCTGCGAACATCCGGATGTCGCTTTAGCGACTTAACTCGACGGGTAAACCTCGACAGTTTACGCGCGAGCTAGCAGAATCCTCGGAAACGATTGTATCGGCGATAAACTATAGGCATTTGTTTCATCCGAAGTGCACTATCGCGCGTGACAACTAAAACCACCCGACGCGGCTGCAGACTTCTAATTGACACAAGGACGAGTGCAGTGACGAACAGTTTTCGAAAATGGTCATTTTTCGGAATCGTTGGAAAAGAAGAATAAATCAAATGCTGGATTGTTAATTGCGCGAAAAATTCGGGAATGAAACGTATCAACTAGGAGTGTTGGATGCATTTAGTATAGCTGTTCAACCGGATATCGATTAAATTATTAGTTTTCCTTGATATCTCAGTATGTATGTAGAAACATTTTCCTTTTTCAAAGAGTCCCAAAATGGCCATTTTGGAAGATTGTCCTTCGTACAGAGTGCCCCAAAATACGCGAGAAAAATGTCAGATATTCATTCACTAAATTCATATAAACATTTGCTTCGTTTAACCACCTTTGAGAGATACAGCAATCTTTATATTATAATCATTTTTCTTCCAAATGAAATTCTTTCCTCGTCCATTCATAAATAATATCAACAGTATTTCGTCAATATTTATTAATCAATATTTATCTCTACGAACTTTGGAATTCTCAGTCCCTGAAATGTTTTCCCACGTATCACCGAACACCCCGTTTAGTTTTCCCTAATGCTGCAATAAAATGGAGCCGGTGCTGTTGAACGTAATATGCAGAACTATACACAGTGTCGATTATCTCCGTTGCGAATTCACGATGGATCGCCACGAGATTAACGATCCCACCGATTTTGTAGCTTCGAGTTGCGAACCGGTTACGTAGATCCAGGGGCCATGCATATCTACATATCGCAAACACACGTTGCACATCGATCGAATATTTACACAGCCACGTGCGTTATACGCACACATATGGTGTACACACAAAGCATGCGACACACACGCTGTACATTTATATTTATTCGCTTGATCGCGAACGGATGTTGATTCTTTGTGATGTGAAGCGGTTGACGAGGGCTTGTGTCGGGCGGACGGAAATGACGAAAGGGGGTTCGAAGAGAATATTACGGGGGTTTGTGTGTGATTCGGTGTTCGGAAAGAAATCCTGTCTCCTCCCTGGTTCATACGTTATGTGATCACGTTTCGTTCAGTGGACGACGGAAGCCGTAATATGCGACGCATAGTAACTCCTCATTTAATTGTCACCTTCATAGAATTAACAGAGTCATCGTCGATTAATAATATCATTCGAAAGATATACAATCGAAAATAAAGAATAATATTTTACATCGCTCATTATTATTGTCTCTCTATTTATCGTTTCATTTACAATCATCTCTCCTTAAATGGTATACGCGATTTCTATCTCGAATTCAAAATAAAATTTCGCTACCTTCTCCCCATAAAAGTGACCGTGAACAGAGCCATTCAGGCGACAATTAACGAGAGTTTAGCGAAATTATCGATGGAACGTGTTCGGATTTCGTTTTCTAGATTAGGCTCATAGTGGCAGCGAGTTAAAAGCTCCGAAGGAAACCTGACGTTTCGACCGATTGTTCTTTCAGCGGTGTTTTTGGCATTCACGCGTTCCGTGTGTTTACAAATTCTTCCAGTGTTGTAGTTTCAATTAATGCGTCTCATGCAAAAGTTCGCGGCAAACACCGGTAAATAAACGACGCAGCTGGCGTCCTGCCGTGCTTAATTAAAAGAGGTAAGCAAAACGTTGCGTGTGATCCGTGTTCAGTTCCATTTTCGAGTTTTTAATAATACTCTCGTTGAGATCTTATTACTTTTCCACGACGAGTCATGCAGGCATGCGTTTTCTTTCATTTTTATGGTTTGCGGACATATGGGATGCGCTGTATCACTGTTATCGTTAATAGATCATCTAAAATGAATTCACAAAATATGTAATACAATTAAAGTTTAATCTATTTGTAGATCTGAAGTTCTAAGGCAGGAACGACTTGACGTCATAATTATTCAATAATGTAATTCAGTAATAATATAATTAAATTACTATCGATTATTTGAACGATCACAGGTTTGATTTTATTCAACGTTCATTATGTAAATTAAATTTCGTCCATTCCTACGCGGGACACCCTGTATATCTACAAACCAACAACAATAGCAGAGATTTCATTTTCCTCTGAAAGAAAGAAAACAATGGAGGCAAGCACGTGGATATTTTTCAGGCTATTGCTTAGACTGAAAGCCAGAGATTCAATTTCGAGATCGGATATCAGCTTTGCATTTTCAATGGTCGGAAATAAACGCACCGAATCGCTGGCTAATCAGCAGTTGGAAAGCTGTCGCTAATTACCGTTCCATTAATTGGTGTGCCACCTTTTCCGTTGCTCGCGTGGCGGCGCAAACGCCGCGGATTATAATTTGTCGAGGTCCCTCACCTCTTTCGAGTGACGTCGCGGTACCAAAAGAAGAACAGGCGAGGGAAAGTGCGGGGAAAACTCGCTGCCACTGCCCGAAACATGGAAAACGACGACATTGTCGCCGAAAATTCAACGTTTCCACTATTTAGACATCTCGATTCCTTTCACACGCGTGTGTGTGTGTGTGGGAGTAGTACGGTTGCCAACCTTTTCGGAGAGGATTTTCGGTTTTCCAGCCTTTTCATTTTTATTTTATATATTTATACGTATACAGTTATATACGTATTTTATATTTATACATGTAAAATATTATATACGAATGGTTTGTGGTGAACTAGCTATCGATTGGTTCAATATTATTCATTTATTCACGAGAGATTATACTTACCAATTATTTCATCTACTTTTTTACTTAATTCTTACCATAATTAGTTTTGACATGCCTCCCAAATATATACGTACATACGTATCGGAAAAGTACAGTTTGCATAATGAAGATGGACACGTATTACAACCTCACGCGATACTTGATTCGGTTGGCAACCCTAGAAAAGAAACTCGACCGTGTCGACGTCCATCTTCGTCTGCATGGAACGACCCCCGTCGCTCCACACGTCTGGCTTCTCGCAAAATTGAATTTTCTCATTTACATACGATCAAACGACGCGTTTCAGACCGACGAGAAATGCTCGGCTACTCCGAAATTCCGAAAAATTCGAAACCTTGCAAAAATGTAATTCGAGCGACACTGGCTTCTACTTTTGCAACAAAGCGGTTCCGGATGTGAAAACACCCCTTCAAAGAAATCGTGACTTTTCATATCACCCTAAAAAGAAAATAAATTCAAAGTTCTACTCGTAAATATCCCAGAATATACTTTTTCTTGTTATTCTAGGATAATAATAATTTCCCCCAAGGAGATGTTCTCAACTTTAGGACTATTTCATCGCAAAAAAAAAGGAGTAACGTAGCTTCGCTCGAGTTCCATTTCAGCAAAGATCAAAATTTCCTCGAAATTTCCAAAATTGCTGAATTTTATCATTCGTCGAATTTAAATAATTCATCGTTGCCGCTGGACTGCGAATTTTACTCATCCGTAGAGCACACAAATTACCGAACATCTGCTAACCGTATACAGAATGCACTTAACCGAAATGGAGCACAAATATTATACAAATATATCCTTCTATACGTGTCGCACATGTGTCAGCGTACATCACGAACGTATAAAATTCACGGTCCGCCGATCGTCTAATCCAAATCAAATCCACGTCGTGCGATCGCATGGAGGAGTAACAGTTGTCCCCGATTTCAAGCGACCGAACCCCTCGTTTGAAAGCGGGGTGGCGATATTTGCCTCGACTGAGGCCACGTTAGTCGAACGCGAAACAAAACTAAACGAAATCGGTGACTGTGTGTGGTGATTCGTTTAGTCGAACGGGATGTAAGAAATTGTCACTTGTAAGCGGGTATCGCAGTATTTCGTACCGATTAATCGAATCGATTTCAATGTGCAAGGGTGGAAAACACTGTGACGCCGGAAACGGGCGATACTTGGCGCACGGTTACTGTGCCAACATCTCGCGATTAACACTTAAGGTCTAGGGTGAACACGATGCTTGATGTATTATCGAGAGAGGTCGTTGGGTCTTCGGAACGTGGTCTTACGTGAGTGCCCTGTCTCGCGCATCGAGTAGAGCTACTCCTTTCCCATTTTTTTTTCCTTCTCATTTCTTTTTCGTTTCGTTACATGTCACATACACCTTTCGTTGCTTCCTTTTTCCCGTTAACTCGTGCTCGATTGCAACGAGGGGCACACAAGTAAGAGCGCATCCGATCGGAATGAATTTGCTTCGCACACACCGGTAAGTCGATAAGCTCAACGTATACTTGTTCCTCGTGTTCTTGGAGTTTTCTACGGGGATGGAAGTCGGTAAGTAGATCGTCGTACTATTTACGAGGTTCGTTCGTTTACAGCATTCGATTGTTACTGATATAATAGTAAATAAAATGTAGTTGTACTTTGAAAGGCAGTTTTCGAAACTTTAGGTCTGGAAGATGTTTTGGTTAAAATGATCGATTGGGATACTGTCAGATTTAAATTGCAAAAGTTTTATTTCTGACTAAAGGAAGAATTGGTACTTTAGAATTTTATTTGGTCAGCAGTGCCGGTAATTCGGTTGCTGTTTTGTTTTCTTTTTCGTGGTAATAGAAGCAGCTTCAATCGTGTTAGCGGGAATTCGTTTTCTGAACGTAATATTTATTATTCATTCTCCGTTTCGACCTCACTTCGGGTCCTCCGGTCCTACGCCGAAATGGAGAATGAATAATTAATGGTATACTCGGGATAAGAATTTTTGCCAACTCAATTGAATTCCCTCTTGTAACCCAAATAGGAGAACCTAAGAGCAGACCATCTAATGATATTATTAACACACTTCTGTTTCTCTTTAAATACAAAAATCTAAATATACTAAAATGAATAACTTCCTGAACATGTACCGGGTAAGCCACGTTTCAACGAGTTACATCAACCCTTAAAGTTCGCTCCCGCAGTCTATTTACAGACCGTGTGAACTTAACAAAACGTGACTGTACGACAGGGCTCCCCTTCGTATTTTTCGCGTCAAAATTGCTAATTTATTCCCGCCCCTATAATTAGCCGAGCAATCAACGCACGTAAAGTGGGCCGAAGTCGGTCAAACGGATCACCGACGTCGTGGATAAAATGGACCCCGACGGGGGTAAACTTTCAGGTCACGTCGAGAGCAGGGCTCATAGGTGACGAACTCGCGAGTTGCCAAGAAAAAGGACACGCGACAAAGACGAAACGGGACGTGACCAGCTATACGAGGCTGTCTGAT